GCTAAGGAGCTGCCATTTTTGCAGAAGAGGCTCTTGCACCAGAAGGAGCTGTCTACACTGCCCCTTCTTGCTCAAGAAAAACCCTCTTGTGCAATGCCGTTATTCCTGAAAATAATCAGTGTCGTGGCATTGCGCAAGAGGGTTTTTCTTGAACGAGGAGGGGCAGTGTAGACAGCTCCTTCTGGCACACATTAGATATGCAAATGAGGCTCGGCAATATTCCACGCTTAGCCTCATTTGCATATCTCTGGTGCAAGATCATGCCAGTGTATACATAGCCTGTTAGTACAGAGGAAAGGCAAGTCTCGGCCTGATAATTCTGACATGGCCTTGGGCACAGTTAGAGAAACAACTCATGGAAGAAGGCCTGATGTTTAAGGCCTTGTCTACACTGGCACGTTGTGTTGCCAAAACCTGACTTTTGGTGACAAAACAGTGAGAGCGTTTACACTGCAATGCAACTTTTGTCAGGAAAAACACCCAGTTTTGGTGACAAAAAACTTCCACCCCCCGCAAGAGACTTTTTTGTCTCTCCCTCCTTTATTGTCAACAAAGGACCAGTGTGGACTCTGCTGTTTGTTTTGTTGAGAGAATTGGCTTCCGCCAGTATCCCACAATACCGGCCCTGATGGCTCTGCTCAGTGTTTTGTGATCTCTGCTGTGCTGCAGGCACGTACCTCTCACCTTTTAAAACTCCAGGAAGTGTCTGACAGCTGAGACCTCTCCCCTTTAAAAACTCCAGGAAGTGTCTGACAGCTGAGTGAGCTGCTCAGTTTGGGGATCAAACAAAGAGCAAATCATTGGACTGCTTCTGTTCTGCCCTGCACTAGGAACACAGCAGCAGGCAGACTGGTGTTGCAGGGGGAGGTGGGAAAGGCTGCTGTGCTGTTTTGACATTCCTCAGCATGGAGAGCTCACAACGCTACTCATAATACTGTTCCCAGCAGCTGAGGGGACTGTGGGAGAACTCCCATCGACAGAGCAATTGGCCATGAAATGTCACCAACAGGAGTCAGAAAAATTGGGCTGACTGATTTTCACTTTTGGCAACTTTTGCATGTCGACAGCACTTCCATCGCCAAACCTTCCCAGTGTAGACAGAACCTGAGGTTTATAAGGTCCCCTTGGAAATGTACTTTAGTTTGAAATGACCCTCTGTTCCTGTCTAATTCCTGTGTGCTCATCTCTGTAATTGTACTCTGTTACAGAATACCTGTCTGAGCAGAACACCTCCAATAGCATTATTACTGCACTCGTGACACTACATGGAATATCCGGTTCCTCGCTCCATTTCCTGTCGATTTACATGTAAATGGAACTGTACACAGAAAGAAATCAGAATGGCTAGACTGGATCACTTAGCTGAGTGGCCAGTCTTCTGATAGCCATCACTTATGGATACAAATGTGCATAACTCAAAGACGCTTTGGACAAAATGCCTCATGTAACCTATCGATTTTAATGTCACAACCTGCTGGATCTGTAGATCTTAATTTGGTGCATGTATCACTCTTGTATGTAAAGTTAGAAATATGGGGTACAGAATGGTTTAAAATGGGCAAGTGAAACCCATATAGGATGTTTCTAAAGCCTGGATGTCCCAATGACAAAGTGATCAACTTAACAATTTGAGTACAGTTTTCTTCGTCCTTTAAGTCTAAGCAGTGGTTGGTTTTAGGAAGGCATGTGACCACCCCAACTGGTAGGGTCTGACCAGGTACTTTCCCATGGAAAGTGTGTGAGAGAACTAGTTTCTACCCAAAGTGGAATCTATAAACCATTGAAAAGCTATCAGCTCCTTTGTCTTTGGATGGCATGACACACCCAAAAGGCGAGCTGCAGACCTCAGGGGGGGAAAAGTTCTCCCCTGGCTTGAAGGTTTGCCCGAAATAAGAACAGTTTTAGGGTAAGTCTGCAATAAGCTTTAGTGTTAGAACTAGCAATGCATTTTCTGTTATTTTAACTTTGTAATTTACTTTGCTCTCTCCATTTTTTACTTGCAACCACTTGTCTAAAGCCTCTGCCGCAACAATTATTTGATTTACACATACATTTTTTTGGAAATGCATTAAACTGTAAGGTCCTGCCAACACACGACTTGGAGAATAACAACACCTGCTGACGGCATTGCTGTGAACACTGAGCGGGGATAGTTGTCTTCTAAAAGTCACTTTATCAGTGATGATTTGTAAGTGATTAAGCTGGAAATTGTTTTCAGTCAGCTGCTGTGCGTTGGAAGGTATTTTTGTAACCACGGAGCTTTGAAGCTTTGTAATTGTTTCTTTGTAACTTTCAGCTACTATGCCTTTTGCATTCTGCAACGTGTTGCAAGCTTGTTGAGCTTTGCACCTTTGTAATCTTTGTAACTCTCTGGCACTTTGTTTTGTAAGTTCAGGACCTTACAGTACGGTAAGCTTGGGGATTGGTGAGCTTTGCAACTTTGTAACTCTCAGCCACCTTGCTTGTAACTTGCTCTAAGCTACATTCCATCCTGTGATAAGAGAGAAAGCATGACTGGAGGCTGTAAAGAAAACAACAAATGGTCTGGTAGCACTTTATAGACTAACAAAACATGTCGATGGGATCATGAGCGCTGTGCAGACTAACTCGGCTACCCCCTGAAGCTCCTGGAGGCTGTGTGCGCGCGTGGGCAGGAAAACGGCAAGGTTGACACGTGGAGCCAGGTGATGACTAATTAAAGCAATCACTGAGACACAACCCCTCCCCCCGCTGCTCTAAGCAAACAAAGGACCAGGATCGAGGGAGGACTGAGCATGCTCCCCGCTGACCAATGTGGAGGAAGGACCCTGCAAGCCTGACAGGCGCCAATAAAAAGGAGAGCGCCCATGACAGAAGCCCTCGTTCTGATCAGCTCCTGGCTGGAATCCATGGCTAGAGGTAAATCTCCGGAATCAATGGGCCTTGGCTCACTCCGCATCCTTTTGCCTGCTTAAGTGTGTGAGTGCCTGAGGGCATGAGTGTGTGTGCGTGTGAGAGAGCTCGTTCCCCTCTAGTTTAACCCTGTAGTGGATTATTGATTCCTCATTCAATAAATCCACAGGAGTGTAGCTCTGGGGTGTAGTCTCCAGAGCAATCAGGGTGGGCACCCTCCTTGCATTGTTAATCAGGCTTCTTGCCTGATTGGGCTTTCGATGTGGGAAACTCTCCCGCACTGCCAGACGGATTTATTTGGGGTTCTGATCCCAACTGGTGGTTGGTTTCCCGGATGCTGTGCCCAGAACTGCATTCTCCTCGGAGCTGAAGTGATTCAGCGTCTGCGTGGGGATGATCTCAGCTCTGTGCCTTGGCTGGGGAGAAGATCTGGCCCAGCAGGACAGGCTGGTGAGGAGCCCCAGAGAGCAAGAAGGTGAACATCAGTGGCTTTATCAGCACACCGGAAAGCAGCCCCAAGGGGTCTTCTGTGACTGCCCCCCGTCACACGCCCCAGCTCAGCTAGGAGTTCTGGGCAGGGCTGGCTGCTAGTGTCACAGGGCGAGTCTCCCAGGAGGTCAGACGGGGCGCTGAGAATGGCTCCCTCTGGCCTCACCCCCCAGG